CCGAGCGGGAAGGGCGAAGGCCCGGAGGCCATTCCCTGCCAGGGGGTCCTTGCTAGGGGCAGGAGCGCGCTCGGTGCAAGGTTAAACACTGGCTTAAGGGTTTTCGGGGCAGCGTTGGTTAGTGTGGTGAACCTCGCAGAGCCTTCTCTAGGTGGGAGCAGGGAAAGCGGTTCTCATTAGTGTGAGATTTTGAACGCGTTTGTGTGTGAGTCGTAGTGGGAGCAGTTCTCTCGCTGCGTTCGTTTACAGCTTCTTCACAAGGCCAGACGGCTGTTCTGACCCGCGGTAAAGGGCTCTCGCTGATGTGTCCAGCATCTTGCATGAGCCAGCCATACAGTGTTAAGCAGCGGTGTAAAGGAGGGAGTCTGTGTGTGCCCTCGTCGAAGGCAGATTAGCAAGAGATCAGCTATTTTTTAACAACAGAACACGGTGAGATGTACGAGAGAGCAACTTACAAAGGTCTCAGCCGTAGGGCTGGACACAAATCACAGCAGTGAGCTGCAGAGTGTTAGGGTTTCTGTACTTCCCTTGTGTCCTTGCATGGCCTTTTTTCATAGGCGAGGATGAAAGGGTGTCCTTGAGCCATTACAGTGCTTTTGTTTCGCTCCCTTTGTCCAAGGAGAGACTTAAATCTACAAACAAGGAGACACTGAGGCCTGAGAAGCAGGTTCTCTAGTCCTAGGTCTTCTTGAGTATTCTTTTGCAGGCTTTTCCGGAGACAGTTTGGTGAACACGTGGATTGCAGTGATTTCAGGCTGGCTCAGCCCAGCACGGCCCCTGAGTCAGCCTGCGTTGGAGGACAGGGCTGGGTCGTCCTGGCCCGACTGCCAGGAGCAGAGCAAAAGCTGTACTCCCTTTCTCAGCTGGACATCATGTACTTGGGACTGTGCCTTCCCTCAGGCTCCTGGGCTATGTCTGCAGGCAGAGATCATTGGAGACATTGCTAGGTTTGGAAGTTAGATTCTGGACATCTAGCAGGGAGATAGGCAGGTGTAGATTATCATAAGCAACAAGCTGAATTGAAATTACTTCAGGGAAAAACAAGGACATGTTCTTCTGTTAGTGTACTGGTTTACTGAAATAGCTCTTGCCCTTTTCTCTGTGCCTTGACTAGTGCAGTCCAGATTTATCTGCAAGACAGGGAACACTGGAAAATTACACCTTGCACAAGTGCAAAAGCAAGGTTTCGTTAGAGCAGTTTTGGTAATTTAACTGATAAGGCTCCTGGGTTGGTCCTGCAAGGGGAGAAAGTCCAACACTCCTGAGCGGAAGAGTCAATTTAATGTGTCTGTTGGCACATTCTCTCGTTATCACTCATGTGATATGGAAGGAGATTATGAGACTCCCTTTGATGCAGGGTTGTTAAAATGGAGAAATAGAATAGTGCTGATGAACAGATACATGTTTTTTATAGTGAATGTTTTCTGTCAGTTTAAAGCTCTAATAAATTAACTCTGGTTTTATTTTGTACAGATGTGTCACTTTACCCAAAGAAGTTCAGCTTTGTCATTTCCAAAAATATGTAATGTATTTTGGCGGTAAGTTGGAGAGTCATATTGTTATGTAATGGGTAAAGACACAGTTGTTGGGTGAACTGAGTAGTTATACCTGTGAGCTATAAACTTTGCTCACTCTAATACGTAGTTGGATAATTCTGTGTAGACTGTTGCTGTGGTGCTGAGTCTGAATCCAAGTCCTTTGTCCTTGAGAGTAGCAGGCAAAGCAGGTATGCTGCAAGAGAATATACATGGTTCACTTTGGAAAAGGAAATATAATAGGAAACATAAACTTCAACTCCAGGAAACAAAAAAAGTAAATCAGGCGTACGCTTGATGCATACAGGTAGAGCTTCCCCCCTTTCCTGATGAACATTCATAGCATCATCATGCTACATGGAAGTATTGATTTAATTTATAATGTAGCTGGGTGTGCAGATGAGAAAATTTCAAATCCAGTTCAGGAATATTTTTCCAGGAGTTTACAAGAGAGGGAAGAAATTAACAGAATACTTATATTACGGGAAGATGAAGGCTTTATCTCCAACCATAGGCTATACTACCTGTAGTGTCTTCAAAAGGAGTACATTGAGAGAAATGTAGTTTTATGTGTCTCAGAAGACTTCTGTAATCTGTTAAGGCTGGGGGGAGGGTGTTCCTGTTTGCCAAAGGCGCTTTGCCAGCTCCTAAAAATTTATGATCACCAATATGTAGCTGTGCTGTGCTTACACCTTACTATCTGGCTGAAAAGAATGTATTGATGCTGTCATCTATTTTAGCCCTTTGGTTACATCTTGTGTGAGGAAAGAGGAGGAGGAGGAAATGCTTTCAAATGTTTCCATTTGAGGAATCAGGGAAAGTTTGCTTTTAACAACACTATTGTCTTAAAAACCACTATCACCAGGTTTCATCACACAAGTACATCCCACTTGTGCAGCTGCAGTAAGACAGTTAGTGATGAAAAATACCAAGACCCTTTTCAACTTGGTAGAAAAGACTTGAAGAATCTCTATGAAGATATTAAAAAGGTAAGGGATTTTGGTGACTATTCTGGGATGTTGCAATGATTGTTTTTAATACCAGCCATCAACTTGGATGACACTTATTGAAAGAATATTATTTATGTTTATGAACAAATGTCTGAAGCTTAAACTGAAGGCAAAAGGAGCATTTCTGATATTTTATAGAATCAGAATGCAATTTTTTTTCTCCTGATTTGCAGTGATGAAATACATTTATGTTTCAGATTGCTCATAGTAATTTTAAAAACAACTTCAGCTTACACTGGGTGGAATGAACGCAGGCAATAACCTTTTACACACATATTGTTTTACTTACACTAAACAGATTGACTTCGTGACTTCTATGCTGAAACGTTCTTGTCCTTTATGTAGGAATTACTTGTTTCTGCAGCAGAACTTAAGGAAATGTGTGATTATTACTTTGATGGGAAAGGAAAGGCTTTTCGACCCATGATTGTGGTGCTAATGGCTCGGGCTTGCAACATTCACCATAATAATTCCAAGTGAGTTGGTCACTTTTAGATTTATTAATCATACTTGAAAGTTATAATTCTTGTGTTTCTAAAAAATATGTCTAGTAACTTTATGAAAATAAAACGCTCCTCAGTAAAACCTGAATTTAAGTTCCATCTTGAAGCTATATTTTTGTAGTTACCAGTGCAAAAGGAACTGCTGGATTTATTACATTTTTCCATGTATAAAATTGTGGACTGCACTTGTAACTGGTAATGGATAAATAATGTTGCCAAATTACGATATTTGTAAGGCTTTTAGTCAGTTCTAGCTTCTTGCATAAATGCTTTATTAGAAACTAAATTAACTTCCTTAAAAGTATTTTCATTTGTAACCATTCCTGTTCCTATTAAGCTCTTGTTACAGGTAAGAACTTTGCTGCGAGAACAGACTCTCATAGGCTTTTTCAGTAATTATGCAGAAAAGCCATTAAGCAATTGGTATGATTATATTCAAAGCTGTGAGACGTTCAAAACAGTCAGGAGGGCTTTTTCACCCTCTAGGAGCAAGTTTCTATACTATAATGTAAGATTCTAAGCTTAGAGCTGGTGTAATCCTTACGAACTTGTCTTTTGAAAGCAGTTTTAACTGAGCAGAACATCGTGCTCGCCTATACTCTCTGTCACTCCTTGCTCTGGCTCACAGCAAATGCTTCTCTCCGCACGTTCCTATCAGTTGCTGTGTTTGCATTTTGAGGAAAGACGTTGGCTGGAGTGTTCTCTGCCTTCCAGCTACACTTCCAGTCTTGCCTTGTATAGAATTTCAGATAGCAAATCTTTGGTCCCTTTCCAGAAGTATTTCTAGACTAATTCGTCAGTGTTACAGGGGATTTCTCTGAGCTCTGCTATCAACTTTCCTGTAGTAGTAGTTTAATGCCTTGTTGGACTTGATTACTACCTCAGAGCATGGCATATATTTTGCTGTTTTATGGTACCTCTCCCTGAATACCCCCTCCTATGTGAATATAGTTTCAAAGGAGAAAGCAAAACCTAGTTGGCAGTGTCCTGTCCTATGTGTGCCAATTCCCCTTGTTTTGCAAAACCATTGTCCAGGATTAGTGAACTTTGCTTCAGTTTGATTCTGTTCTCCATTCAGGACTGCTCTATATCATTGTCTTAGAGACAGCAAACGGAATAATGTTGGTTGTGAAACTCCTCAGGGATGTCCTTTGTCACAGCACTGATTGGCTTAATATTTTCGTGAGTGATCTTGACCTGAAAAACAGGAGCATAATGATGGATGGCACTTTCTGATGACAAAACCATTCTTGATGATCAGCCATCCATGCTGAAATGTAAGGAAGCACAATAAACCAAAAATTTCTGCTTGAGCTTGCAGGCTTATGTGTGTCCCATTAGGGCATAACTCCATTGTGGTTTGCAGTCACCTTCTCTATGAAAAATCTTAAAGTTATCCTAGCGTGTGTCAACACTAGTATATCCAGTTCAGCTATGGGAGTGTATAAAACACTTTCTAAAATCACCAGATTCAGTGTCAGATCCCTGTGTTCAGAAGAAGTCCAGCTAGCTTCAGGCATGAACTGCAGAGATAATTAGGGAGAATGAAGACTTGTGGTCTGCAAATATATCAGGAACGGGGTGAAAGAGCTATTAAGACAAAGACTTCTATTGCTAAGAGGATGGAAACTTAGGAGACTTTTAACAGCTGGGGCAGTGAGTTTTTGGAGCATCTTTCTAGTCAGAATAACAGTAAAAAAATAGTTTTATCTCATTCTAGTGTGTAGCATGAGCAGCTTATGAACGAAATTATGCTTGCAATACTGAGAAGGCTGGAACTGATGTCATAGAGCGTGGGAGTTGAAGAGTGAATCAAAGAGAAATAGTGGTAGAAAGACTGAATTTGCCTTTGTGCTCAAAACATATTTGCTGTTTTCTGGCATATGTATATGTGCAAGGACATATTTTTGTCCACGTGTCTCGAAACCATCAAGACCAGTTTTGAGACCTGCCCTATGCCAGTGAGAAAGTGTGATCTCTGAGTTCAAGTGACACGTATGCCTGGGGCAGGTGTTTGCTTTGCAGTAGCCAGCCCTCAGCTTAAGTCCTCTGATTTATACGTGCTTGTGTCATTTGGCAGCTTTTGTACATCTGTTGCAGTTCGGTGTTTTAAAAGCCTCCTTGATAATCTGAATGTTCCTTGTATAAACCAGACTGAGTCACTATCTCTGATATGTTGCTTCTAAAATGAAAGTCTGAGTGGGGAGAACAAATGTTTCACCAGAGAAATATAATGAAATCTCAGGGTATTTACCTTCCTCTTCTTTGCCTCTTGCCAATTTCTCTAAGCCTGTGATTGTAATTAAATATCACATATTTAAATATCACATAATTAATATCACATAATTAAATATCACACTTGGTACAAGTCTTCACTGTACTGCTCTTTGGTTCATGCGTGATGACCGATGTTTTTTGAGAGTTGGCTGGGCCATGCCCAAAGAATGTACGTTCATACTGTGGATACCCACTTCCTGTGAGCTAATGAAGTTTTATGGGCATTTTCTTCTCTTTTGCTTTCAAGCTTCTCAAAGCAGGCTGTGTTACACCTGCTCTGTATATATATATATATATATATATATATATACTTCCAGTTCACGCTGATACTGGTTTCATTATTGTTGTTTCTTAAAGTAGCATTGTTTCCAGGTGACGAATTGTTCTTCCAACTTATTAATGTTTGTAAGGAAAATTGTATATGTAGAGAAGGAAACACTGTGTATTTGTAAGTCTGCTACTCTCTCTGTAGACCCTAGGGGAAAAATACTTGCCTTTCATGCTGCTTCTCACAACACTTTTTTAAGATGTTTTTCCTCTTTCAACTTGTTGTTTCCCTTAAAGTATTTTGTCATTCTTTTCCTCAGTTAATATGATTCTTCTCCCAGACTTGTTTTATTTTGTTGAAGCTTTGGTTCCCACACATGTAGTCAAAGACACTGACTGCAGTATCTGTAGACTTGCAGAGTGAACCAATATCCTGTGCTGTTCATCCCTAGCATTTTTCTTTTTTTTATCCCGCTTCTGGGGTTTGTGTTACTGATGTTGAGCTTCTGCTTCATCTTGCTGCCATTCTGAACTGTCATATAACTTGCTAGACCCAGCATGCTTTTGCCTGCTCTTTCATTCGTTGGGGTTATTTTTTTTTCTTCTTTTGTGCTATACTTGTATAAAAGGAATACTTTGCTTTGTTTGGCTGTTACAATAAAAGGACTCAACTTAGTAAGGTTATAGGTCCTGATCTTAGGAGGCAGTGCAGAGAGACCTCTTTGTCTTCACTGAGTCCCACCAGAGTAACTGAGACTTCTCAAGAGAATGGAGTGGAATGCCCAGATATCTCTGCTTACAGGTTAGGTGACATGATCATTTCTGTTGAGATTTGAGGAAGGTGAAGTAATTAGAATACCCTCAGCAAGTTAACTGTTTTTCTAGAGTGAGGTCACTTTATTGTAGTCATAATAAGGAAAATGACAGTTGTAATAAAGAATTATCTGAACTATTATCAAAAATATAAGTGGCTGAAGCACTCAAATTGTTCTGTGTTGGTATGTTGTTTGTTTTCTCTTGAAGTTCTAAGTGCCAGAAGTCCAAGTCCCTTGGGCAGGGGCTTTTTGCTTATTGATAGCAACTAAGCTATGTGTGAGAGTGAGAATTGTTGTAAATAGTTTAAGCTGAGGTCATACAAACCTCAATTTCACACATCCGCTGGCATTTCTTCACATACCTGTGTGCAGAATTTCACAGAATTACCACTTAGCTTGACAGGAGCTAGTGTTTCTGTTTAGAGTGTATTCTCCAAAGGTGTTTGCAAATAAGAGTTTTTATTTCTATTTCTGCAACCAAAATGAGAGAGACAAAAAAGAAAGGACCAAAGAAGTACAGAGACATCTCAAGAGAGAAAATAGGGGGGGAAAAGGAAAGTAAATTCATGAGAATAGTGTGAGAAACATTTCTATGTAATGACCTGGCTAAATTCGATAGAATAATATTTCCTAAAGATATGAGGACCTGCCAGCAACCTTAGTCCTCTTTCACTCCCCCAGATGGTGGTTGTCAGAAGCCTGTACTCTGCTGGTTTTCAGTTGCTGTGCAAATTGCTCCCATACTAACACATACATTATTTGTGCTTCTCCTAGTTTGTAGTGCCCTCCATGTCACAGACTGTGTTTCTGTAATGGTTGTTTCAGCCACAGGGGCGTAACAGCAGAAATGTACTTGGAGAAATGTGGTTATAACACAGAAATTTTGCAAGTTCTTTTGCAAGTTCTCTTGCAATTTCCTATATTTAAAGTGGCAAAATATTTACTTACTAGCAAACACATTGTAAAGCTCTTTGTTTCAGAGTGTGAATACTGGTTTGCATCATTTTGAGTTCCCCCCTCACTGTTTGTGGGGTTTTTGTCTTTTTTGAAGAGGGATATTTGTAGGGAGAGATGTGCTTGGATTTTTTTTTAACCTATAAGTTGAGCCTTGGTCTTGTTCAGTGTACATGAAACAAGTCCTGTAGTGAAAAACACCTCAAGGTACTGTAAGTCTATAGAACCTTATCACAGAATCAAGCAGGGGAGGTCCTCCTGAAAAACAGAACATGCTCAAGGACTTAAAATTTAATATATTGCATGTGTAAAAAGATAAACTTACAGTTGTACAAAAAAATTGTGTGAGTACGTATCATCTTGGGGTGTCTTTACTTTGAGAATGACCTAAAAATGGCATCTTTCCACTTACTGAGTAAGTGCGGGCCCAGTTATCTATTGACTTGAGCTACTGCCACTTTTTGCTTTTGTCTTGCAGGCAAAGCTGAATGAAAAATGGCAGGGAATGAGAAGGATCCTCTTTCTTGTGTGTTTTCCCCTAAAATAGGCATGCTCTGATTCAGAATTACTCTCACAAGATGCTCATAGGAAACTATTGCAGATTTTTTTTGCCAGCAACGGAAAGAATCTTGGTCGAGACATTATGGAAATAGTAGTTTAAAAAAAGCTTTCAGATTAAATTATCACATTTGATATAACATTCTGGAAACCAGACACACGAACCATTAGCATTCCTGTGCCATTTTTAGTCATTGTCAGAGATGACATGCACTAAAGTGCAGAACTTTTCAAAACCTGCTTTTGAAATATCTGGTTTTGTACTGTCTTCATACTACTGAAAGATTTTGGTGTGTCGGTTGAGTGTTGCCATTTACTGCTGCTTCCCAGCAGGAAGTCCAGTCTGCTGACATTATTAATGAAAAAGGGAATCCCCAAAAGGAGACCAGTGCATGAAAGAGGCTGGAGACCTTTACAGTTTTTTGAAGGTAAGTTTTCTCCTACTTAGTAAGAATAGTTTATTTTGGAAAACTATTTACACTGAACTAGCATTTGACTAAATTATTACTCCACAGTAAAACTTGCCTTCAAACCACCATGAAGGTTTCCAGCTCTTATTTTCTGTTGTGTAAAAGCCACATTTTCAGAGCCTGGGAGCTGTGCATTCATCCTGCTATTGTTCAGGATGTAAAACTCCCACTGACAGCAATGCAGAATTCTGTGTAGAGGTAGGTGTCAGAATGCAGTGTTATGTCAGCACACTGCAAGATGTTCTTCCATTTTGTGATTAATCACTACATTTTAATAGACATAGGCAGTGCAGGAAGGTTTTAAATTCCCTACAGCTGAGCTGGAATTATTGTCTTTTGTTTCAGTTCTTTTTCTGTTCTGCTGGAAAATAGTGTGATTTTCTGTGTTGTCTGTATACTAGAAGTAGGGTATCTATATATCAGAAGTAATTTTTTCTTTTGTTGATTTTTTTGGTTATTGGGGTTTTGTTGGTGTTTTGTGTCCATGTGGACTTGTTACAGCTGTGAGACAAAGCTGGCTGGGACAGCCATTTCTGGGATCCTGCATGTAACCCGTGATGAAAAGAGGTAGAAAAAAAGATGGTACAGAACAAGACAGTGGCAGTTGGATACTGGGGTAGATGGTCCTTGGTGAGAGCTAGGTAGGCTCCTTTATGCTAATTTTGCCAGTCTTGTTCCCTGGATATTTGCTTCTATGTTGTTCCATTACCTTCTTTTCACTTAGTTTAAAAAATAAAGTAGGTGTGAAGTACTGAGAGTTGACTCATCAGTGTTAGATTATCCCAAAGGCTGAATTCCAGTAAGTGTTAGGTAGTTGGTGTTTAGGACAGTAAGTGTTAGGTAGCTGGTGTTTACAGTCCTAAAGTGATTGAGGTATAATTCCAGTTAAGTCCTTAGGCTTTTGAAGAACCTCTGAGGTTTTAAGGTAATCAGATAACATAAAGGATAAGATCCATGAGTTATGTCTTTCAGATGTAGAATACAGGTTTCTGTGCCTTCTGATCTCTCCAGGTTGCTGGTTAGTAGAGTTATCTAGCTTTGGAGTTTGTGATGCTGGTTAATAGGTAGAGCAATACAGAGATAAGGAAAACTTTAAACTCATCTACAAAGGTACCTGGCATTCTTTTCTCTGCTGTTTTCCATCTCCTTGAAACCAAGCGTCCTTGATGCTGTGCTATTTATTGCAATCTGGATTTAGAGGGATTAGAGTCAATAACGAAGGAGTTTTGCAGTACTGTTAATGCAGCAAGGTAGAAATAGGCCTTTAATAAGGATGGAAACATCCTATTGCACTTACTGTATTAATGTGATGTTAACTTCTCTTGTCTTCCCAATTCCAGGTTTGAAAATGGGGTTCAGACCACAGAAAAGCTGCGACAGCTGTTTTCAGAAAAACATTTTTTAGTTTTAGTAGGGATTTCTTTTAGTGTATTGCACGATATGTAACTGATTTAATTGTTTGACAGTTCTTGTTTTTTATTTTAGGGAGGTGCAAGCAAGCCAGCGCTCTGTGGCCATAATTGCTGAGATGATCCACACAGCCAGTCTAGTTCATGATGATGTTATTGATGATGCAAATTCTCGCAGAGGAAAAAGGACACTTAATCAAATCTGGGGAGAGAGGAAGGTGAGTTTGCTAATAAGTGCAAGACTTGCCTTTGAATTTCAGCAAAGCACAAACACCTAGAGTTTTGTAAAGTTACTATCCCTAGGTCTTGGGATATGCTGGAAAAAGTATGAATAGGTGTACACAGTTTGTGGGTGAGACAAATGTGTGTTCCTTTTCTGAACTGTTGAAAACATTAGATAATGAGTGATGGTAGTGTGTAGTGTTGGGCCTGTTCAGCCTCGAGAAGAGATGACTGAGAGGGGACCTCATCACTGTCTATAAGTATCGGAAGGGAGGGTGTCCAGAGGATGGAGCCAGGCTCTGCTCAGTGGTGCCAAGCAATGGGACAAGAGCCACGGGCAGAAACATGCACAGGAAGTTCCACCTGAACATGAGGAAGAACTTCTTTACCGTGCAGTGACTGCACACTGGAACAGGTTGCCCAGAGAGGTTGTGAAGTCTCCCTCGCTGGAGAGATTCAGGAACTGTCTGGACACAGTTCTGTGCCATGTGCTCTAGGATGACCCTGCTTGAGCAGGGAGGTTGAACCAGATGACCGTGTAGTCCCTTCTAGCCTGACCCATTCTGTGATTCTTACTGATTTTACATTCCCTATGCCATTCTCTGCAGTGCTATTGGAACACCTTGAACTTGTACCTCATCCTGAACACTGTATATTAGTCTGATCAGTAGTGAAAACAAAAATGTTTTCAGTCAGCAGGAAATTTTTTTTGAGAGTGGTGTTTCTTCATAGCACATTACAAGGAAGGTCTTAATCAGAAAATGCAAGGAAGGAAATACACTGCTGACGCACCAGAACTTACGGCAATTCAGAGTTCACGTGGTGTAGCAGTCACAACAGAATGGTCAAATAGAGAATTAGTGTTCAAAAAAAACTTCATAGGCAAACACATGTTCAGGTATTGCATACAGGGAGGACAGAGCTTATATAGAAAAATACAAACAACACTATAAGATTCAAAAATTATTCTGACTTCAATATTTGGTGATCTTCTGGTTTTTCTGTTACAATGAGATATTTGTGCTTGATGCAGGAAAGTTACGTGATGTGAGTAGATCTGCCAAATCAAGGAAATTGTATCATCTCTACTAACACTGGAAAAAACTTAAGAGTTTGTTTTGGTTTTTTTATTCTTAGGCTGTTCTAGCTGGTGACTTCATCCTCTCAGCTGCTTCTGTAGCTTTAGCCCGAATTGGAAATACTACTATCGTCTCTGTTCTAACTCAGGTGATTGAAGATCTGGTGCGTGGTAAGGTCTTTTTCTATTTATTCTTCAGATTTGCTTGCCTGAGCAGTAAACCCATAAATAAAACCACCCATCTGTGCATCTTTTTAGGTGAATTCCTCCAGTTGGGTTCCAAGGAAAACGAGAATGAGAGATTTGCTCACTACCTCGAGAAGACTTTTAAGAAGACTGCGAGTCTTATAGCAAACAGTTGTAAAGCAGTATGTACGTCTGTCTCTTCTCAAGTTAACACACCATACTGTGAGCTTCACAGTTAAACTCCCAGTTATTGCTGTTTTCTCTGGAGACCCTCCAAAGCAAACCCTTTAAATGGTATTCAGCCGGAATGTGAACGGGTTTGAGACTGTGAATATTATCACAATTCAGCTATGTAGCCTCCAATATTGTTTTGCACTTTTTCTTTTCTGTTTTTTATTCATACACGGATTTATTGTTATCCTCACTTGACTCAAAATAAGGATCACAGTGGCAGCCTTTAATTTATGAAATTCTCCAAACTTGAGGCAGTAGTTTTCGTCTCAGTTGATCATTCTTGAGCCTATAATTTGATTTTAAGTCATCTTTGGCATCTGTCCCTACTCATTGGTAGTGAGACCTTAAATGATAACAGTGGGAAGAAACAATTAATTGTTTATACTGTAGACCATATTGTGAAAGAACAGAAGCATGTACATGATTTGTCTGTGGGTTTTAATTATCAATTGCTATATCCAATTCTATCTGTAATTCAGTTCTGTTACTTGATTACAAAAAGATCCAACTCAAGATTATGTTCTTATTCAAAAATACATGTTTAGTTTTAGTGCAGAAAATGGAGAAGGTGGGCAGTAATCTTACCCCAAGAGAGTTTTATTTTTTTTAATTAAAGGCAGTAGATTGGTGTATTCTGGTGTATTCCATAGCAAGAGGGAGTTCTAAGAGAATTAGACTAAAAAGCTGTGCTAATGTTAATCATCTTGTTTTGTTCTCAGAGAACTGGTACCTTTGTGCAACAGACAGCAGTGGAAAATTGCTTGTATCAAAAGGATCACACAGAATGAGAGACATGGATTTTATAGGGAGGGAAAATGTCTTTCATTCTAGTTGGGGGAAAGAAATTAAATCTTTTGGATTGTTCATATTAATGGCAGAATGACCCTGGCAAGAATTTTCTTTGCAAGTCTTCTTTTATATCAGTGGGCACCTGGACTTGTAAAGAGCATCACATTATTCTGCTATCCTAGTAAAAACATATACATGTTTTTCTGTTCACTTTGACAGTCTCTCTAAAATAATCTTTGCAGATAGAAGAAATCACCTTCCCACTGAGTGGATTCTCAGTTTGCTAATTTGAGCTTTTTCCTTTTCCTGACTTGCAAGAGTTAAGGCTTTAAGCACTCCTCTCAAGATAGAGGCTGTAATGCTGGGGGGTGGTGTTTGGCTGCTTTTCTTCTAGTGGCTGGTCTGAGTTGTTTCATTGCTGAATTGCTGGAATTTTATGTGCTGTAAGATTTGTGTTATAAAGGAAAGCCGAGTGAGAGGACTGTCTTCATGGCAAAACCATACTTACTGCACAGAGCAGTAATGAGCTGTATATGTATGTCTCCCTCAGTTTCTTTCTGCATGGATTAGGAGAGGTCCATTGATAGCAGTGAAAAGGGAATTTTTTTTGTTTGAGATCTGGAGGGTTTTTGTTGTGTTTGGGTTTTGACACATTTTTGTTCAGATGACTTTGACTACTAAGGAAATGGATGGAATCAGAATGGAGATCTGTTTTCTGTAGTGAAAATTATCCAGATCATCAGTTCTAGCTTGAAATTCAGTTAGGGAATCAAGAGTATTCATATTTTGTTTTTAGGGACAAAGCTAAGGAAAGAGATTATTGGTTTTCAGAACATCAGTTACAACCAGGCTAGTGTGCCATTAAAAGCAGTTCAGTTCCTGTTAATGATATGGAAAAACTGATTTGTTGCTGTGCATAAATAAAATAAAAGTATTAACTGGAAAGAAGATGTCAAACAAGTTCAGATGGCATCTTAGCATTCTACATTCTTAGAGATGGAAGAGTAGAGTATTCCTGGAAAAATGTCTAAGCAAGATTATAGAGTCTGTCAACACCAGTCTAGTTCACTGTATTAGATACCTTCTGCACTGCCAAAGCATTACTGCGTTTAAATCAAAGTCCTTTAAGTTAGCAAAATACTTTTTTTTATAGACAGAATAGTCTGTTCAAGATGTTAGAGCCATCCCAGTCTCCAGTTTATTTCTGCATGGCAGAATGTTACAGAGTTTCAGTCAAAGTAATAAATTGCAAAAGGAAATGGTGGCAGATGGCCCAGACGGTCATTGAAGCCTTAGTTACTGAAAGGCATTTTTCAAAGAAACACGAGAGGTGACTTTGGTTCAAGAATTCAGAAACAATAAAGCTGAAGTGGAATTTCTGTTTAGTCATCAGGCAAGCTGGAGATGGCAAAATAACTTAAGCAGGTTCTCTTTCTTTTTTTACCCTGCTATAATGTGAATTCCTAAGGCCGTTTATATTTTGCACAGCATACTTTCAGAAGAGGGATTAAATCATGCTTGCTTTGAGATAAGTGGAAAGTTGCACTTGACATTCTTGATTTCTGTATTAGGAGAAAGCATGCAGCCTCCTTGTGTGAGGCAAGGCTGTGTGTGGAAGGTCTGCCTTAGGGACCGAAGAAAACAAATAGTCTGCAGCTCTGGATCTACCTGTGAGCTCCTGCTGTAACTAGTTCATCGTTTAGTGTGTGCACAGGGCTCCATCAGAAAACCTACAACAGTGTGGAACTGATGTCTAAGAAAATAAGACCTCTGATCCCCACCAGCAAAATTGGTCCCCCTAGCCCAGTTAAGCACACAGACTGCAATAATGGCCAATGACAGATGTAGGGTAATAGATCAGTAGTATCAGATATTACAGTCAGCCAGTAAATTTCCTTATTATTTAAAATACAGTCAGTCCTTTGGGGATATTTCTTCTTTATAATTTTTGCTATGAAAAAGATTAGAATAAATGTCTCACAGATATCCAGGTAATCTTCATTTCTGTAAAGGTACAATTCTTCATAAACAGGTATTTGGTTAGCATGTTAAAATGTTAGTTACTTGAGAAAAGGTCGAATGCATGAAAATGCAGGTTCAGGACAAGATAGTTGTCTGCAGTGTGTGTGGGTTTCTGCTGGGTAGTCATCTCCCTCTCCCAGGAGGCCCTCACCACCCCCTTGGCAGGAGCAGTTACGAAAAGGGATTTGAAGATCCTGGAGGAAGTAAGGATGTGCCCGCAGCAGGGAGGGACAGGCACACTGTGGGTGCATCGCTGCCAGCATGGCCAGCACATCCAGGGCAGGGACTGCTCTCTGTCCAGCATGTGTGAGACCACAGGGCTGGGCTCCCTCTTCCAGGACAGACATGGACACTGTGGAGTGAGTTCAGTGAAGGGCCACCATGATGGCAGGGACTGGAGCAGATGATATGCCAAGAGCTGGTTTTAGTCTGGAGTAGAGAAGGCAAAGAAGAAGGAAAATTGGAGGGCACAGAGAGGATGGAGAGATGTGCAGTGAAAGGACAAGTTCATGGAAAAATTCAGTCGGCTCTTAGGAAAAATATCTCCATGAGGTTGGTCAAACACTGCAACAGGTCGCCCAGACAGAGTGTGGGATTTTTCATCCTTGGAGTTGCTCAGAAGTCAACTGGGCACAGCCCTGAGAAACCTGATCTAACTGTGAAGTAGAGTGCTTTGAGCAGACGACTGGAGCAAATAACTTTCAGAGCTCCCCTCCAGCCTAAACTATTCTGTGATTCTACTGGAAAGAAGGAACAGCTCTCCTGTCTAGAAGAACAGCAGTGGATGAGCCATGAATGAGAAGGCAGGAACCTGACTGCTTCTAGTGATGGGCACAGAGGAGAAAGTCTCGAAAAGGGGAAGATTTTAGAGCCTTTTCCTTTTCAGAAATCTAGGAGTGCAAGAACAAACATCTCTTGTACTGTTTATACAAGCATATCCTGGCACAGCAGCAGGTTTTCCTCTGTGACCTGCAGGGCACCAGTAGAAATGTGTGAGTGCTTTCAACACCAGCTGCCATATTGTCACATATTAAATATCAGAGCAGGACCTATCTACCCAGAGCTGATTATATATTTTACAGATGTAAAATTCAGTAAAGAGGCAAGATTGATTCACAGTCTCTCATATAACATACTAGAAACAACTTTTTATTGCAAAAAGTGTTTTTGAAATAATACTGAGCAGATTTGACTTGCTTTATTGAATTTAGAGAACATTTCTAAAGAATTTGTTCCACCTGGTATTAGGATTTTTCATCATAATTTAGTGGAGGACAGGTCTGAATTCTTACAAGATTAAATTTGTCATCAACAAGTCATATCTATTAGGGGAGCTACAGAATGTTTTTAAGGGATGAGCTTTATAATTTAAACATGTCATTGCATTGACTTGGTTACCCTGATTTGTATTTGCAAATGCATGCTATTATCCCAGTATGGCTTCAGTTAAACTTCAGCTGGGATTGACAAGCTGCCTGGCTGCATCCTGGTGAGTGTCCAGGTGGGGGCAATAATCTACAAGAGCATTTTGAGAAATTGCATCCTGAAGGAACTCCCTCATAGACATGACCCAGCCATGTTGCAGGTTTATGGTCATGGTTAGAGGGTTGCTCACTTGAGGATGACTGGCAAATCAGTCTCCTGGATTTTGTCTTTTTGTTTGTCTTTCTTTTTGTATATGAACAAGAAATGTTCATAACCTGAACAGGAGCTATGGCAGTCTTCTTTTGCAAAGATGCAAGAGTTAATTGTGCATTGATGAATATTTCTTGTGTTATATTCTGTATCTAAGAGTTGTTTTTTGCATGTACATACACTGGTGGGATTCTTTGTATAGGTGATATCTGTGTCCCTTGAAAACTGTCCACCAACAGGAGTAGCTCTGTTCTTTCTGACTTTTCAAATTAAATGAGGAAGCTCCTCCTTTACACGGCACTTCCTCTCCGCCTCTGCCAACTAGTGCCTGTTCTGATCCTTTGCCATTCATTCACCAGGATTTTGTTCTACTGAAATCCATATTTTATTCCTCCACATGAGATGAAATGTGGTGGTAGGTAAAGATTTTATTGAAACAGGGTAGATGCAGTCCCCCTGCCTTGTGGATATTATGTGATTTATATTCCAGAAGCAACCAGAAGTTTGCTAGGCATGGTACAGCAGTATATGTTAGATCTCTGGGGCAAATACCACTGTTTAAGAGACAAGTACCAAAAGGAGGATAAAAGGGCAAAATACTCTAGTTTGATAGTCTCTAGCAACATCTATTTAAATATCTCATATTTGCAGTTCACTCTGTCTAATAGCCTTCAGGATTTTGTATGATTATTAGACATAAGTAGTACTGTTTTCCTGCTATACTGTCCTCCTCTTTTAAATAAAATTGGGAAATGTGAGATGCTGTTAATGCCTTAGGCATCCAGATTCCTCTGGGTTTTAGTTATTATCCATGGATGCAGGTTATGAGTGGGAGGTGTTCTGATGCTCAGTTATGAAGTGCACTGATGCATGAAATAATCTCTGATCTTGTGCCATCACATTTATTAGAATATAATGTTGTTTCTTATTTCTCTCTTCATGTTCACCTTCTAAGCTACTACTAGACTTCCTTCTAATTTGGGGTGGGGTTGGGGGTTTTTTTATGATTTTTTTTTTTACATAGTCTTAAAGAGGAATTTATATATAAATATATTTGGGGTTTTTTAATATATATATTTATATTGTGTGGCTTTCCCAGCATATATTTTTAGTCTTACGTTAAGTAAAATGTATTTTCACTCCTTTCATTAGTCACAGCAGATTTGGAATGCCTGCAATAAACCAGGATGGATTTTTGCCCCCTGTTCCTAATTGCTTTACTGAAGGATGAAACAAATCTGAGTATTTAAATATAACCAACTTGATTTTGTGAAGGGTATACTCAGTGCTTAAATGCAAAAGCATAAGTGCCTGTACTTTGAGGCAAGATATTAATTCTCAAACCTTAATTTATGTCCCGTATTTTAGTTTTGTGGAATTTATTCAGTTTATTTCTGTCTCTCAGATAGTTGATTTCTTTATCTGTACTCAATTAAAATGTTTTGTTTGTCTCAGTTTAGTGATACTTTTGCCAGCTTGGTATGCTGTCTTTTCTTTCCACTAATTATTCCTCAGTACCTTTGCCTGCAAACTAATTAACTCATCTTCCTGAGCAAGTCAGTTACAGTTAACATCACCTTGAAAATAATCTTCCTTATCTCAACTGCCCCTGTACTAGGTTCAACATGTCCAGCTTTGTGATCTTTTATGAGACATGTAATGTCCATTTATCTGTTGTCTGACCTCCAATTGTCCCCTAGCTGATTTATGTATGTAATAAATTTAATTTCCCTGTCACTGGACTGTGTACAACCACTAGCCTGCATGTGCAGTGCATCCACATCTCCTCTCTTTATCCCTGCATTATAATTTTTAAGTATAATAAATATTTAATAAAGCTAATCTCTTTCCAGACCAGACTTGAATATAGTTTTAATATCACACTGCTTTTCAGCCTTGTTTTCTAGTAAGCTTGGTTCACTGTGTGTCTCCATGAACAGAGATAAGCAAGAATGTGCCCCTGAGTCAGCTTTTTTTTTTTTTTTGCCTTTCCCAGATCCCTCCTCCCTGTGCTGGCTATGTCACACCTATGGTGAGGGACTAAAAGTGCATGCTAACTAAAGCTTTCTATTTACTTGGGTTTTTTTGTCTTTTCAGGTTTCAATACTAGGCTGCCCTGATCCCAAAGTTCATGAGATTGCATATCAGTATGGAAAAAATGTTGGCATAGCTTTTCAGGTAGTGCTTTTATTGAACTAAAAGGAATGTAAAGTCTAAAATTCTCCAAACTGCTTTAGAAATCAAAGTGGGCTGTCTTAATCCTTTCTGCAAATCTTCTCTTTAACAAGTATTATTCTGTATTTAGTTCTCATTTTTAAAAAGAAAGTTTCTAAATTATCTGCATATTTATTTTTTTTCCCAGCTAATAGATGACGTGCTGGATTTTACATCATGTGCCGACCGTCTGGGGAAACCAACAGCAGCAGATCTCAAGCTTGGATTGGCCACAGGCCCCGTCTTGTTTGCTTGTCGACAGGTAAGTCAACAGGTATCTGCTTCCTCAAAACAGAAAGTGTAAACTGCTCCTCACAGCACACACCCAGGTCCAGCTCAAACACATCAAGGCTACAGCATCCGCATTAAGCGGGGCCTGGGCCCGTGTGAAAAATCTGTGCATTCAGGATCAGATGGATTCTGTGTGCACACATGTTCTGACAGACTGAGAATCACCTTCCTGCACAGCTCCTCTTTCTATTAGGCCCTTGCAGGTACTCACAGAGTATCTGCATGTTTTATTTAGGTTATTCCTAAGTAGCTTCTTGCTCATGTTCTCTCCTGAGACATCTTGTTCTTCCCAGGCTTGACTGTGTATGTAGGCTTTTTTGCCGGGTTCTGGGCTTTGTATCCATCCTGGGGCCAAGAACTGAAATCCCTGCCTAGCTTTTAGGTGGGTACCTCTATTTACTGGATTTGATATCTTCATCTCTTTGTCTTCAAGTATTATCCAGTTACAAATGTGGGAAGCTTTCCCTTCTGAAGGCTGGATAAGAGAAGGAGTGTCATAAATAAAACAAGTTTAAAATGGGTCAAGATTTTTAGTGCCTTAAAAATTATTTGGAGTTCAAGGAAAACAGGAGTGCAAGCAGCACCAAAAGAAACATTAAAATTGGTGCTAATCCATAAATGGGGAAGAAACTGGTTTAATGTGCTTTGCTCAAGTTTCTGGTTCACCAGAGGAAAGAAGATTTGAAACTTAAAAAGTGGTCCCTTCTACCAAACTTCACAGCATCATACAAAAACTGGCACATCTAATTCCAGCAGAGCTCTAGTCTATGATCTCTCAGTGGAACAGCTGAGAGCTTGACATGGGAAAAGTTTTAAATCATTTAAAAAAAAAACACAAACCCTCAACAACTTTGACATTTACTTCCCCCTCTTTCTTAAAAGAGCCTGGAGTGGGGCGAGGTGGAACATAAGAACCTGTTTGCTTCCTTATACCTAGGGCATTTACAAAGATCCATAACTCAGAAAAGACAGGAAAGCACAGAGTATGGGCCAGTTAACAATGCAGACGAATGCACACTGAGAACAATTTTCTCCATATTCTCAGTCCCTCCCCACGTAATCATCTGGGGGTTTCACAAGCATGTTCTTGAATCATTATTTCAGAACTGTTAGTCATCAGCAACTGGAGTCATCTAAAGAACAGTGAGAGACTCAAGCAGAGAAAGAGGATGCAATTGTGAATCAGTTTGGTTTTGTGTGTGCTAAAGTTACAGAGAGAAACAACATACTGCAAATACTCTTGATTTTGGCAGAGAATGGGTGACACTGATTGTCTTGTGGGTGTTGAATATTCCAATTTTTTAATTTAAAACTATTATTAATTTGTTTGGGTTTTCTGTCTCTGACTTTCAAATTCACCTATCTTTTAATTAGCTTTATAAGATAAATTAGTTCATAATATAAAAATAGAAGAAAAGAAAATCTGTCAGTTCTGTTTTAAAATCTTGCTCTTTGTAGGTCAATTTTAAATGTTTTTTCTCATATTTTTGATAGATGGGAAGCATATATTTTTGCATTGAAAGATAACTCGACCATCTTACAAAGTTTTCCACATTAACTTAATTTTCTCTGCTGAAAATTTTTTGCTGTTTTCAAGAAACTGGAAGAACAGCACTACAGACTTAACAGATATATAAACAAGGCATAAGTGCTAAAAAAACGTGGAGCTTTAACAGACACTTGTCTTTGCTGCTTCTGAAAGATGTTTCATCTATTTGTATCTGGAAATAAAAATTCCTGAGCCAGGACTTGAAGACAGTCCAAAATGTAATTGTTAATTATAGGCTGTCTTTTCTCTTCAAATTAATATTACTACTATCCTGCAGACCCCTTCATATAGCTGGTTATCCCCGAGTTGTCTTCTGAAAAACATTCTTTAGTTTTTAACATGCTCTGGATCTTTAGTGACAGCTGCCTTTTCTTCTCATTCTCTCCCCTCCCTCTGAAATACATCTTTGTGCATTAGAGTATTAAGGAGAGGCCTTTACAGAAAATAAAAATGTTTAGCTTGATGTGATACCTATTTATTCAGTATTTAAAGTTAGTTCACTCGGTTAAAAAAACCCCACCCCATTTATTTCTTAATGAAATACACTAGTATATGCTAATTCTAAAGCCCTTCTTAAACTAGTACAGCTGAAGAATGAGGGTTTATTTTTATTATAAGCATTCCTGTCCAGTGCTTATACACTGTCTGCTAAATCTGCAGAGTGGCTAATAACAGCTTTGCCTTATAGGTTTGGGGATTTTCTTATCCTTTAGTGCTTAAATATAAAAAGTGATCCTGTATACATGTATGAGTCACCAATAAACTTCTAAATGCATCTCCAAGAAGACTTCATATGAGTAGTAAGGAAATGTAACAACATTTAGGGATGCTGCGTTTCTACCCGAACAAGGTTGTGGAGCTGCAGCTTCAGGACCAAAGGTGTGCTGGGAAAGTGGATTGTTGTTTACAAGTGTACGGCAATAAAATCATCTTTCTTTGACTCTAATCCTTTCAAACAAGATGAACCAAGACCTCTTTCCTTTAAAAAGAATTTTTCTGCAGAGTAGGTGCCTTGAATTGTGACCTTAGTTTTAGTAAGCACCAGGTTTTTCTGTTTCTAGGCTATCTGAAGAAAGAGCCTGCGTTTTTAGATAAGTAACGCGATTTTCTCACACAACTGACTTGAGTTACCTACTTGATTTGTAGGGAATTGAGCATGGACTGCTAACTACAAATGCTGTGTGACTGAAAACAAAATACCTTATAGTTGCCATTTCTTTCTTATTAAAAAAAAAATCAGTCCTGAGCTTTCCACAGGGCAGAGCCTGTGTATATAAAATACCAACACAACAGAAACTATAAGTGGATATAACAGCTAAACAACAAACCTCTTTTGTTCACTGTTGTACATGGGGGGGGAAGAGGTGCTTAGTGTGCCAACACTAAGCATCATTTGTGATAAAAAAATACCTGAAGCAGATTATACTCCAGGGAGTAGCCACATCAGAAATTACCACAGTAGATTATCTGCTCAACATGATGAAATGGCAGATGCTACCTTTTGCTACCAACTGGCTACAGCCAGCAGAGCCAGACAGTTTAAGTTTAAATGCTTGGGCTGTGCTGTACTACAGTCCTGTGCAGACTGCAAGTATGAATCTAAAGCTATACCCGTAATAACAAGAGTGGCAGGGGAAGAGGTCTGTACTTTGGTGTCGTTTTGACCTTAGCATGGCAGGCAGCTACATGGAAAACAAAAGCAGTACAAAAACCTTCTCCCTTTGTGCTTAGTTTCCAGAAATGAATGCTATGATAATGAGGAGATTCAGTAGGCCAGGAGATGTTGAACGTGCTTGGAAATATGTGTTGCAGGTAAGACTGATACCAAATATTTCTGCTTTCCCTACTGAAGTTGGTCTGAAATTCATTGTCTCCGAAGTAAAATAGCAGGGGTGTGTTGTCATATATCTGCTAAGTAGCATGCAATGTACAGTGCCAAGTTAGAACTCTTCAGCTGTCTTACTGGCACAGTGTTTTAGAAGAAATGATAGGTACTGAAGAGCTTTTTTTTCTTTTTTTCCCTCCCATAGCATAAAATCCACATAATAAAAGTAAAAAGCTCATGCATGAACTCAGTTCCTTCAGCTGAGGAGTAGCTGTATCCAACAACTGGTGTAAGTGGCACATCATTACCAGTCAGTCTTGTAACTGCAGTGCACACCCCATGAGTTTTAATTGATGCTAGTCTGAAAAGACTGAATAATGGTCTGTGCAAAATTAATACCTATTTTTCCAGAATAGCACATTTTTTTGCACATCCCTACTTAGGGCAGGAGGGGAGGGGTTAAACCATTAGTTTCTAATATATTATTAATACCAGTGCTGTTTTTTAAGTATACTTAAATTTAGCATGGATGTTTTAGTATTTTGACCCTTTGGGGAAGGTATGTAGGATTCCATGAATACAGAACGAATCCTCTTCCTTTCCCCTGCACAACATAATTAAGCGTTCAGGGTACTGACTGACCTTACAACCCCTGTACAGTGGGAGAGACAAAAGGCAGGAGAGAGGCTGATCACTTACCCATTTCCTCTCACTGTCTTTCCCCCTCAGAGTGATGGTGTGCAGCAGACAACCTACCTCGCCCAGCGCTACTGCCACGCGGCCACGCGAGAGATCCGCAAACTGCGGCCGTCCCCCGAGAGGGAAGCCCTCGTCCACCTGACAGAAATGGTTCTCATGCGAGACAAGTGAGACAACTCCTTCCACTCATCCTGGCAGCTACTTACCAGACTGTGCCTACATTTATTTCAAAAGTTATTTGCTTCCAACACAGGCTACCAAAAATTATTTTTTTAAAAAAACCTTTTTTTTTTTTTTTTTTTTAAAAAACAAAGGTTTAAAGTGTTTTACTGCAGGAAGCAATGCAATTCGGAGCAAATCAAACTGTGCTGTACAATTGTTTTAGTGGGGGGCTGTTGATTGTGGGGGATGGGGAAGATGTTTACATGTCGATGCACAAAGGCCACAATGAGAATAAATATAAATCAGTGTATAAGAACTGAAGTTGTTCCAAATTTCACTTGTTTACACTAATAAACAGAGCATGCATGCACAGGGGCTGGTAAACTCCTGTGAAGAGAGATGGTTTGAATGCTTCCCTGGCTGTTTAACAACAGAAGCAACTGGAATTGTACATATGACACCAGTTTACTATAAAAGACTATATGTAGATTTTAATTGCTTATATACATCAGTGAGTTCCAGTTTGTAATGAAATACAGGTACACTATTGGTGGCTACTTGCTAGCAGTTAACAAGATGCAAAATTTGAGAATGCTGCAGTTCAGATAATGAAAGGCTCAGTATTTCTAACTCACACTAAAACTAAATGATTCACCAGCCAGTCAAACCTGCAACTCCATCCCCTTCCACCGCTCGTTTATAGAGTATATTCGGTACCCTTCTAGAAGCCTGCTTTGAAGTCCCAGACACATTCCTCTCACAGTAATTATCCAGTACTACCACATTCCTTTTCAGGTTATTTCAGCCACAGAATTTGTAGAACAGGGAGGCACACAATCTCTATCTCTGCCTGTGATGTCTTAACACAATGGCCAAGTTCCTGTTGTGTGTGTTCCCCCTGGGTGCTCTCTGGAGGACACCTCGCTGTCTCTTCTCAGCAGGGCACATCACCAAGCCACACAGAGTTTCCTCAGAGAACTGTAAGTTACAGATGGTGTCCAAGTTTTACTGCATCTAGCTAACTAGATTAAATCAAGAATCCTTGCTATAATTAAATGTTGGAAGAAAAGAACCTTTAAGAGTATGTGTAAGTGTGTAATTCAGGGTTTCAGATCTAATTTATTTTCCCTCTGTCAGTGATAAATTCATGTTACAAACATTTGCTTTTCAGTACATTGCCTGGGATAACACAGCCATGATTTTGCTACCTTAGTATTCCAGCCTTCTTTGCCAAGCCAACCAACAAAGTAATGGACAAGACCTTTGGTTCACTTATATATTTATGAATGGAAAAAGTCATAATGTAAATTTACTCATTAAAAAAACTTGGGTACAAATTACACATACATAAGACCACCCATTTTTTGATTCACATGGACACCTTAGACCCAAACAACTCATTGTAATAGACTTTAGTGAGAATACTCCAGGTAAAGATTACAACAATTGGAAGCATCTTGGATTTTTAAAAAAGTATATTTCAATACATAAGTTTGTATGCATGCTTTAAACAAATATAGTTCAAGAATGAGCAAAGAGTCTAAACAAAAAGTAATATGACCAGCACTAACATTAAACTTCTCATCCAGATTTTAATATGTTAGTCTAACGTAGTGTTAGTTACCATGCTGTACTGAAAAATGTAATGGCACAATCTGATCATGGTTCATTAAATATTATACCCTACTTCCCCATAATATTTAGGCTGGTCATAAAATTAACAATGCATAAGTAAATAAGTATAACCAGTTATAGACAGTTGTTTGTTTTACAAATTGCCATCAGGTAAGACATACTGTCCCCAGAGACTCAGAGATGGACATTCAATCATACCATTAAAACAGTATGGCCTGAAGAAATGGGCACAATTTTTTTGAAAGTATATTAAGACAATCCTGTTAGCTTGTAGTTACCCCTTGTAAATAATCATGGTATGACTGAATACAAGACCAAACTTTGAAAAGCAAAGGATTTTAATCGGCATAGTGCATGATTGATTCAACGTAATTCCCAGGAAACAAGCCAGTTACTCGATTGCAAACTCCTTCATACCAGCCGTCATCGTTCTTCTTTATCACATAAATGATTGCACCCTCCATAAATGACAGCTCATCGTCTTTGTCCTTTGTATAGTCATATATAGCAACAACTGTGGATTGGAAAGGGACACGTTTAGCATTTTATTAGTAACACCAGTATTAAAAAACAATTGTACTTCAAAAAATATTAAAAGACTAGTTTGCTATCCTGGGATTTTCCATAATGAATCCACATGCTTTCCCTGTTGAACATTAAGTCCAGAAAATGAAATTTTACTTCCTTGCAACATTAGCTACCAATAAGAAGTGGGTGGTGACTACACTGAACGCTCAGTTAAGCTGCTGACAGAGAGGTACATCTGACTGCGACACAGTAAAGCAGTGCATATGGACACTTAAAGCTGAAGTATGAAATAACTGACTCCTTAAGTGTGGCAGCCATTTCTGGTCTGATTACCTCAAAATAATTTTATTTTTTTTTAAATAATTTCACTAGGGCCCCTGGAGTTATATATATATATATATACACACACACACACACATTGTATTCAGTGTGGGATCTACACATCACTGTGTTAAGCTACTCCAACAAATGAATGGTCTTTCCTACAGAGCTTCTGTATGATAGGAAGTTCTGGCATCAATTTTCAAGAAGCTGCAATGTGTGCAAGTAGAAACGTTACTGTAGGAGAAAGCAGAAGCAAATTTACAGCAACATCCGCTATTTTTCAGTACGTGCTTGGTGAATACTCTTACCAATCTCCAACTCACCGTGTGCCACTAACAAAGCAGAGATCACCTTAAGGAAAGTAAGTCTTGCCACCAACAATAGTGGAGTTAAAAACTACCACTATGAATATACAGAGTTAGACATCATAGCCTTACCATTCAAAACAGTTAACACGGATTTATGCAGTTGATCAGCTTTAGGAATTCCAAGAATCTACTACTTTACACCTATATATATTCTCAGAAATCTGATGTCTTAGGCAGGAAATCAGCATCTCTATTATTCATGGGAAGAGACATTTACTACATTAGTTTGTAGTTTGCTGATGGGGGAGTCACTGATAAATTTCTTCAACACATTTTATAGCTGGAAGTGTAATGATCTGCTCTAGCTATCTAGTTCAGTGCAATAAACACGGCTCAATTTCTGACCTTTTTGCAACAGTTTCTAGATGACTGCCTAGCAATCCTGAGGTAGCTAAAGACACAGTCCAGAAAAGATGAAAGCCATACAATTTACATCTGCATCTCATAAAGAAGCTTTTTGGTTTTCATCTGTCCCAGAATGCTTGATGGTATTTTATAATTTGTCCAAAAAAGGATTGTACCTTATAACATTAGGTGTAGCCACAAACAAACTAAGGACAGCATGGGTCGAGTTCTGACTTAGGAGGGACAGTGATTGTTCTCATCAGACCCACATTAAGTCCTTCAGATACCATTAATCCTCTGATATTGCACTAACGCAGCTGTAATGCCTCTCTTACCTTTCTCTATATAGTTTTTAGGTGCCCAAGCAGGATCTCCATCTGCATAGGGATCGCTGTACTGCACAACAGCAGCCTCCTCATCCTCATAATCCACGGGAGGTGGGGGTGGAGGAGGAGGAGAGTCATCAAACATCGGCATCTCATCGGGGGGTGGAGGTGGGGGAGGAGTCGGGCTATCAGCAACTAGAAACGTTTGGAGATTATTTTTTTTTTTCTTAAATCAAAAACAGTGTGGAGATGCAAACAAACCTGAGGCTGTACACTGTAAATAAAAGGGGTGGGGGGACAACACACATAGCATGCACTATAATTCCATGCACTGATTAGAAACAAGAGGCTTTGTATTAAACAGCTACAACACACAACTATATTTGTTATTAGTGGTCAAATCTACGTATAAATGCTACTAAAGCACATGCTGCGGGGCATAAGCTGAACATCAGCAGAGAGGAAAAGCTTCCTGCTCCGACGTCCATGCGCTGCAGCGTTAGCTATGGGAGGACTCCGAGTGGCACCCTCTGAGCCAGGCAGCAACAGGCCTCTGGACTGGGCCAGCAGCTTCATCTTTTTTTAAACAAATCCTTTGTCTGTAACCATCACTTTAATTTATATCTGAACACTGCTTCCTTGGATTCCTTCTCTCTCAGAGCTAGCATTAAGGGGACAAAAAGATCTGGTGTGGATCATAAAAAAGGGAAGAGACTAGTATTTAAGATTTAAACAGGTAAGAGAAAGCCAAGTAATCCTTCTGCAGAAGAAAAGCTTTGTACAGATCCTTATCTTGCAGACTAGCTTGTGTGTGTGTGCACACATTCAGGATTTAATTAATAAATGGAAAACTACAACAGGCAGCTGCTCCTCTTAGGGAAAAAGTGCTCAAGGAATTAAGTGTATAATCCAAAATGTCAAATTCCTGCCCTGAGATTCTCCAATCATCACAATTACAAGTTGCTTTGGGAAAAGGAAAAAATAGAAAGGCATTATGGTACAATCACTTTTAAAATCAGTTCATCGAATTAGATTCCAGTGATGTTCACAGCAGCTGGCAGCAAAGGAGAGAGATGGCATGCTCAGAGGCAAGACATCAAGTCACTTATCCTATTCCTTGGGAGCTGTGGTCCACTACACACGGACCTAGGTGTAAGCACTAAGAAGCCAGAAGTTACTGAAAGGAAGCTACTGTCGCTAAAATCAACTTTGTTACATAGCAATACAGGTTCATTTTCAAGTGATTTGGGATTCTGCACATTGAAAACAGGCTGAAAACCACTGCTCTAGGCAAGGTTTGACAGAATGAGCTATCAGGCTCCAGGATGTGCAGGTCCAGCACACAAATTTTGAGAAGAAAGCCAAGCTACAGAGTAAGGGAATATTGCATTGAGCAAAGCTTTAGCTACTGCTAATTAAAATGGCACAGGAGGTTAGAAATAGGATTTCTGTTTGCTTGAACACCCTTTACTTTCACCTGGTTGCTACTCCAGTGGTGACAAACCTTTCCTCTTCATCCCCATGCTCCTGACACGGGGCTTGAGCACAGCTCCCATGTCCTTGCTGGGTCAGACTGGCTGTGCTGGTACAGGGGAAGCCAGATCTGCTGCCAGGGGGCAGAAGCTGGTAGGAGCTGCTGGGGCAGAGGCTGCCTCAGAACTGGCATCCAGCCTGCTCCCTACACTTGGAAGAGTCAATGCTCTGCTCCACCTGCAAGCCCAGCTCCTCTTCAACTTGATCAGCTGAGCCGCACACCCCACAGCTCTCTCCATTAGTAAGACTGGCTGCCACTGTA